GCTACAATGCAATAGCGGCTAGGTTCAAAACCCTATGTATCGGATCATGAGTCATATTTAAGGAATGATGGGCTAGGGATTTCCCCAACCCCAGCCTCCATCTCCTCCAGAGGAATACCTAAACCCTAAGCATTCTCTCTCTCTCTCTCTCTCTCTCTCACTCTCTCTCTCTCTCTCTCTCTCTCTCTCTAAGTTCTAAGCCTTTTTGTTTATCTTTGTGTGTTCTTGAAAGAAGATCGCTTTCTCGCATGGAGCTTAAGTGCATTTCCAGATAAGACCAAACACCGTGTGCATCATGTGAACCTCTGTAAGTGTTCAAGTTCTCAACTTTGTGGCTTAAGCTTTCTAGATCTAGTGTTTTGTGGCCTTTTGGGTCCCTTTTATGGTTTTGGTTGGAGTTTATGGATATTGCATCATCACTCACACTTTCATCGTATTATGGTAATAAGGCCTCATAAATTTGTATATGATATATTATCAGTCATATACATATTGCAAATGTAGCAGAAATTGGAAATCATTGTTCACTGAGAAATCATAAAATATTGTTCTTAACAGCAAAAGAAAGTTCATTGATAAGTGAGAAATCCATTGCGAAATCAAAAAAATATGATACACAAAATTCACAAACAAATTCTGAATTCCTAAACAAGTTACAAACATAAGTGAATTCCTAAACTCGTTGAAGTAACTATTGGCGCATTCAAGTTACATAATTGTAACACCCATAAAATTTGAGCCAAATTAAAACATTTGATTTCATTCAAAAACCATTAAGTTCATACATCTTGTTTTCAAAATAGTTTAAACATCAGAGTATCCCCCAGAACCATATCACATAAATCATAAAACATGAGGAGCGGTACGATCACGCCTTCGCCTTGCCACGATCTCCTGAAGCACCTGAAACAATAAACCACAACTGTAAGCCCGAAAGCTTAGTGAGTTCCCCCAAAGCACCCATACACACAATAACATACGCATACAGCAAAGAACAACATACTATGGGTCCAATCAACCTTCCGGTTGGAATACCCCTGGCCCTCAACCATCGGGTTGGAATGCCTACATACTACGAGCCCAATCATCCTACCGAGATGGAATACTCTCGGCCCACAACCATCGGGTTGGAATGCCCATACACCTATACGTAACACAATAACTACTATGGGTCCAATCATCTCGCAAGATGGAATACCCCAGGCCCCTCAACCATCGGGTTGGAATGCCAACATACTATGAGTCCAATCATCCTACCGGGATGGAATACTCCTGGCCCACAACAATCGGGTTGGAATGCCCCACTTCCTATACATACAGTAACTACTACTACTATGGGTCCAATCATCCCTCAGGATGGAATACCCCAGGCCCCTCAACCATCGGGTTGGAATGCCAACCTACTATGAGTCCAATCATCCTACCGGGATGGAATACTCCTGGCCCACAACCATCGGATTGGAATGCCCCACACTTGCAAACATGCACACATAACAGGCAACCACATAATACTCTACAGAACCAACATACTAGGGCCCTATCATCCTACCGGATGGAATACCCTCTGCTACTGCTCAACATACACAACCCGCAGGTAACCTCCTACCAGCGTACATAAGGCAAGACCAACTACAAGTCTAAAAATAACCACTACCCAACTACCAGGGCGCTGATCCAACAGAACTAGCCATCACTTAACTATCCATTCCTCTAGGATACTAAGCTAACAAGGCATATCCACATATCATTATCCTACCTACCAGGATACTAGCAAGCATATCATCACATAACATAACAAGCTCTAAACAACAATTCAAAGGGCCGGCCTTGGTGCCTTAGACCCTTGAGTACAGTGAGGATAACTCACCTGAAATGAAGAACCGAACCACGGAAGCACACACCCGAAGCACTGCTCCAAACTCCAACACCTATTGCCATCAATGGACCATTGACATAAATAACCAAATACCATAACACCCTTGAAGGTCAAAGTCAAAGTCCTGGCCAAAGTCAAACTTCCTGACTGACCCTACTCGCCGAGTCAACCCGTTTTCGAGTCCCATCCTGTCCAACTCACTGAGGGCCCCTCGACTCACTGATCTGCGTCTTAACTAGAAAAGGTTAAGGGTTCTACAACCAGACTCGCCGAGTCCAAGGCAATCTTCAACAGACTCGCCGAGTTGTTCTTCAACTCGCCGAGTCCATGCACATGTTCATACAACTCGTCGAGTACACCCATGTGACTCGCCGAGTCTCTCCAGTGCTCAATCCATACATAGGATTTTCGAGCCATGCAGGGGCTCCAATCCATAGATCCACTCTTCTACATTCTAACCCTTACATAAAGTTGCAAACTTTACGTAAAACCAAGGAGATATAGGCCCAAAACACACTAGGGCTAGGGTTCATGACAAAGGGGCTTTACCAACAACTCTTAGACAGAAGCTTTATGCCATTTTGGACCATCACAAGCCTAGATCTGAAGTAGCAACCTCAGATCTAAGCCTCTAACTCGAAATAGCTCTCAATCATACCAAAAATGCCCCAAATCTCAATGATAATAGATCTAGATGCAAAAGAGCCCAAGCAACAGATTATTACCTCCAATATAAGCTCCAACTGAAGTAGATCACGGATCTACACCACTCCTTTGCAGCCAACCTCTTGATCTTCAAGCCCCTTTCCAAGATTTTCTCCTCCAAAACTCTATTCTCTCTATTAATGGAAGCTCACTCGATTCTAGGGTTTCTGGATCTCAAAAGGGTAGCAAAGAGGCTGAGGGTGGGTTATAATGTGCTTTATTAAGGGCACAACCCCCGGGATTAGGGTTTTCTCTCTTCAGCACCAACTCGTCGAGTCCCAGCCGCCGACTCGGCGAGTTGGCCACTTAATCCGCGATAAAATCCCGCTCCGACTCGGCGAGTAAGCGGACCTACTCGTCGAGTCCCTTTCCTAAATTTACACTTTTGGTCCTTCATTGAACAATTGAAATTTGGGGTGTTACAATAATCAAGTTATAGATTCCATGAATCAACAAAGTGTAAGTACTTACATGAATGATTGAGTAGAAACCATTTGGAATAGGTCAAATGAACTTCTTAAAGAATACATATGTGATTGATAAAGATAACAGATTAAGAATGTCACAATTACCCAAATTGAAATCGAGATTGTTACCACTGAGAGTGTCGAATGAATCTTGAATGTCGGAGGTCTGTGGGATGTGGATAAGGTGAAGGCAACGTATTAGCAGTTCAAATGTACGCTTGTTTCATGTGGCACAATGGATGATCGATGGGAGAAAGAAAAACTAGTGAAGACGGCGTCAGTTGTCTTGTTGAGATGTAATCAAGTCGTCGGTAGGTGACAGCGACAGGCGGAAGGCTGAGGGGTAGATGGATTGAGGTGTCTACACAGGGACGAATTCTGAGATGATAGAACTAAATGCTTCACCAAGGGCATTACGATTTCAAGGATTAGGTTTTCCCCCTTTCATAATTGGGCTGTGGTTTTTGCAATGAACTTTCTCCTGAAATGACATCAAACTGTATTCGTAATGTTGGGTGTGGCGGATGTAATCGAAGATTTTGGGGGTAGAGGCGGCATAAATCGACGATGTTAAGGATGAGGGTGGCCAGAATCGGTGATGTTGGGAGTAAGTGTGGAGCCGTCAGGTTGAAATTAGGGTAAGTGATTGGCGGATTGAAATCAGGGTAATATGTTTTATGTAGAAGAATTTGAGAGGGGGCATGGGGGGAACGAAAATATTGGCAGGGAACTTGAAAATTAGCCAAACTAAGGGAGGGAATTGGAAATTGGCGACATGCCTATCTCTTTATTGGGTAGTATTTAGGGTTATGGAGAGCTTCATAATTTCCGTCGTTGATCCCTAGCAAATCTGTCACTGATTAACTAGGGATATTTTCCGTCGTTGATACCTGATTTTTTAGTAGTATTTAAGCTCGTTGTCTTTCTAATTTCTAGTTGGTTGTGTGTTTTAATTTCTAGTGGTGTTGTGTGTTACTTTAATTTCAAGTGTACTATGTTTTTTAATTTCAAGTTATTGAAATTTAAGTTTTAATTAAAATAATTTGTTTATATTTATTCTTTATATAAATTAAATATTAAAAAGATTAGCATGACAAACGTGACAACTCATGCATTGTAAGGTTAAACGGTATGGAGCGGGAAATGAGTGATGGAAGCTTTCCCTCACCTCGGAACACCATATCGAGGGTGAGGGTAGATGGGTGCGGGAAAAGAGTGAGGGGAGTCTATTCATCACTCTCTCTCTCTCTCCTTGTGTGATTGGTCAGTCTTTTTTATTTTATTTTATTTTTCAGTTTTTTTAGTAATTATTAATTTATATACCTACTAAACAATTATACAAAATAAATCAAAATTCATGGTTTTTAATTCCCTAGAAAATGAATATAATATTTGTATAAAATATATTTAAAAAAAAGGTAGTCAAATGTCGTGAAACGTGACCATTTTCTGTCTTTTGGTGAGAGAAGGGAAAGTAAGGAAAAGCTGACATTACATTCAAAAAGTGAAAAATCTTTTCCATACATACCCAGTGTTCTAAATGACAAAATTGTGAAATAGTATGGAAAATCGTAGATGACGCCTATATAGACTGTGACACGCTTGATATCACTCTCTCCGCCCTTACTCCTAAACGGTGGAAGGACATGAATGGTTTTTAGGGATCAAAATCACTTAATATGGAAAAATGTGAGACAATGAGTACTTCATATCAAATTTTCAAAATTTAGACTATACCTTCGTGTTAAAGTAAACCAGATTCACCATTTTTTAATTTACTCCTTTTTATTTGAATTTAAATATTTTGCTTATTTTATGAAAAAACGTTAACGGTATTTAGATTTAGAAGATACTAATAAAATAGTACCCAAAAGCATCAAATGCAATCTTTGAAGTGGTGATCACTTTTTAACTAATCATTAAACTTCCCTTCACTTTGTCGTGGTTTACACACCACAGTCTCACCAACTCCTCTTTATAACCCCCACCACTTCCTTTCCTTTACCCTTTCTCTCCACCCACCGCCACCTCCACCTCCACCGCAGAATAATATGGACTCTGCAACCATAACGAAACAATGTCTTCTACAACATAACGAAGGTCTTGCCTCGATTACTGCCGTAGAACGTGGATTCTCATCGTCGCCGTCGGAAAACCACCGTCGTGACCGCCGGCCTCTCTATTCCCCGGCAACAACAAGCTTTAGAAGCCTCTATTCTTTTTCTTTTTCAAGATCTAGAACGTTTCTTAATGGAAGATTTCAGGAGCAACAACCTCATTTCTTGGATGCTTGTTTTCTCTGTAAAAAAACACTTGGTTGTAATAACGATATCTTCATGTACAGGTGATTTCCCCTTCTTTTGTAATTGTAGTATTTCATCTTCAACCAATTAACATACTTCTTCTTCTTCTCATAACAACCAAAAAAGTCCAAACTTTTAAAACGATCATCTAGATATTTTTCGAATCTTTTCACATAGTTGTGTTGATACAAACTTTTATGTCTTCGTTTTTTCTTTTTGTTTATTGTTCAGTGAGTCAGTTGATTATACTTCTAGTGAAATTTGTATAACTATTATAAATCTTCAGCAAAAATATTTATGGGACTTCACCAAATGCTTTTGATTATTTGACATAAAGTTTTAATGTCATTGGAATCTTATATTTATGTTCGCTGAAATAGTTTTGTTGTTTCTTCATATAATTTTTTTATATCCTCGGAACTTGGTGTATTGTTAAGTAAATCATGAGAATCCTTAAGTTTGATAGGGGTATGTTGGTAATTTGGCAGGGGTGACACACCGTTTTGTAGTGAAAGGTGTAGAGCAGAACAGATCGAGATTGATGAAGCGAAAGAGAAAAAAAGGAGTCTTTATTCATCTATCAAAGCAATGAGGAAGAAAGAAGAAAGAGGAAAATCTACTAATACTTCCACAAAATACCCTTTCCATTCTGGTACCGTTGTTGCAGCCTAACTAATTAAAAGAACAAGGCAAAGAAATCAAATTTTCTTCTAGAAATTAAAAATATATTAAAATTTCAGAAAGTTAGTTCGTGGAAAAATTGTAAAAAAAGTAAAAAGAGTCTATAACTTTTGTTTATATTGTGTGAATTATTTTTCTTTCTCTCGTGGTCTTTTCCACGTGAAGAAGACAGGGGTAATTGTGGAATTACAAATACTAACCAAGAAGACGCTACTATATGCTGTATGGTACAAATACGTGATGTGTATGTTATTGTACATTGTTATATTGTACTTGTACTTGTACTTATGAGATTATTTGTTGCACGTGGTACAAGATATAAATACAGACAACTTTTCCCTTTTTTGGGCTTTGTGTTATCTATGTCAAAGAGTTTAGACAATAGTTTTGTTTTATAATTTTTTTTTGTTGCATGGCACGTTCTTTTGTAACTATTTTTTGATAAAAAAAGAACATAACAAAGATGTGTTGTTGTAGGTATTTGTCATATCAAAATGAGATGTGTTGAGCAACTTGTTATTTACTTGGCTTCCATAATTATTTTTGGCATTTTCTGATGTTGTTAAGCAACTTATGATTATAATAATATCATGTTCGATATTTTATACATCCAATTAACTTTATATGAATGACAAAAAATGAACGATAAAAGTTTTTGGCATATAGTTTGATGACGATGGATAAGGGTGGTCGGAGTGGCTCGGGAATGAGGTTTTTGGGCTGGCAGTACCAGCAATACCGCCGAGGTGACTGCTCCGAGCAAAAACGGGACTACTGACAAGCCCTTAGGCGGATAGGAGAACGTGTGATAAACGTTTGTTTGATTCTTCTTCCCCCTTTTGACCGGTCAACGGTAAAAATGAATAATATTTAAAAAAAAAACTGATGTATAAAACTATCACACCTCATTTCCATTCCGCTCTATCTCAATTCTATTTCAACATTACTCAATTTCATTCGTTTTCTCCAACTTTTCAAATGATGAATTCAAACATTCGTAAAATAGTATTGGAAAATATTGTAGACGATTTATCTTCATCCGATGATGAAACTAACAAGGCTAATTTGTTTGCTACATTATCTCGTTCTGCACAACTTTTGTATCAGAATAGTGTCAGTTCAAGCAACATTTATACGAGAAACTCAATCCATAGAGATCGTATAGAGGCTGAACAACTACTAATCAGACATTACTTTGTTGGTGATTCAACCTTTGTGAACATGTAATTGTACAAGGTTTCCTATGAGCAAACATTTGTTTATGTGTATTCTTGGTGACCTAGAAAAGTACTTATCCTTATTTTCAAACATCATACAACACAAGTGGTTTGTGAATTTTTAGTAATGCACCTCGGCAGTACGTGTAACAACCCAAAATTTCCAACAAAATTTTCATTTTGATTTTAGAAAAAGCCTCCAAGTAACATAAAACAAAACAAGAAATCCCAAGTGTATGAATACAGTCATCCCCAAATCAAAGTATCAAAATGTGGAAATCATAAAAAGATCTGCAAGTCGGAGTGTAAAGTCATGCCTTCACCTTCACGCGATCATCTTAGGTACCCGAAACACATTTAATCCATAACTATAAGCATAAAGCTTAGTGAGTCCTTCCCAAAATATCCATATTAAATAACTATGGGTTAAGCAACCTTGGGGATTTTCAGCAATCCCAGTGGGCTAACACCACGCCCTGTGGATTAGCAGAATGTTCTGGGGTTATCAGCAACCCTGAGGATTATCAGCAATCTCAATATATTAGTAATGCAATTCAAACAAACAGAAAAAAGTAACTAATACCCAACTGGTCACATACATAAATATCATAGAGGTAAAGTAGTTAGAAGACTCACCTTGCAAATAGCAGCTAGAAATATGTGTAACATTATGTTTATTTAATAAATAAATAGATAAAAAACTGATGAACGAATAGTCGCCCTAAATCGATATTATTTAGTGGATTGTTGGTTTTGGGGAGCCGAATGTTATAAATTGGATTATTCGGGGGCTAAAGTGTAATTCTGGGATTTATTTTGTGAAGATTTTCAAAAGCCAGGGGCTGTTTGGTAAGCTTGGGACTTAAATTGAAAAGATATTGAAGTGTTGAGGGCTGCTTGGTAATTATTAGGATTGTTTATGAAAGGAACTATGGAAGGGAGGGCTAAAGGGTAACTTTCGGAGTTAAATTGAAAACAAATGTTGTGGGGAGGGACTGAACTTGGTAAAATGTACAAATTTGAATGAGCACGGGACTTTAAACCCATCACCTCCCATTCTCACACTAACCCTAACCCTACGTCCTTATACCACCAACCGTCATCACCATGTGTGACATCTTCAGCCGCCACCTTGAGAAGCTCCAAGACAGCCGCATGCCACCTCGCTGTGGAGCACCACCAACCTAGCTCTGCTGCCGGAGACGTCGTGGTAGCCGGATAGACCATTGAGAACTGTCGGAGTCGTCGCAAACGGCTGGAGAGGCCACCGAGACGAAGGAGAAGGCCGTGAACGATGGATTGGAGGCCGTGAACGACTGGAGGGCTTCAGTAAGGCTAAACCATGACATGTTTCTCCCGCCTTTCGTCCCTTTTGGTTGTACAAAGTCGTCATCGCCGTTTCTGTTTGCTCCAACGGCAACAGCCGCCGAGTCGGCGGTTGGGAACCTCGATCTCGTGTCATTTATGCGTCTGTGTTGTTGCTATGAGTCGAATATGTGGGTGTGAGTGCATTTTCTGGCCGGGAAACGTGGGTAACCACCATGGCAGCCAACCATGGTGGCTGCCACTATATCATCTTCTTCCGCCGCCACCAGCCACCGTGAGGAGGTGGCTGTGTGCGCGATTTGGTGTGTGTGTGGGTATAGTTCGAGAATTTAATGTTGTATAGATATTTGAATAGGAAAAATGAAGAAAACTCATAACCACCACCTGCTGTCGCCGTTCCGCCACCCGCTGCCGCCGTTCCGCCACTGCTAGCCACCCGTTGGATTGATGTTGGAGTGCTTTTGATGTTGTGTTGGCCCAAGAACATAGCTACCACCACCGTGAGGTGGTGGCTGCCACCATGTGCCACCGCCGGCCACCACTAGGGAGGATGTGTGTGTGTGTGTTTTATTAGTATGTGTGTGTGTTTTTATTTGGATTGTGTTGTAATGGGTTGTAATCGGTCGGAATAATAATAAAAAGCTTATAACCACCACCGTGAAGTGGTGGCTGCCGCCACCAACCGCCGTGTTGGGTGGCGGTGTGCCTTGTTTGCGTTTGGACTTGTTTGGGATGCTTGGACAACGTGGGCCCAATGAAACCCTAGTGGGCCCAAAGAAACCCTAATGGGCCCAATGAAGCCCTAATTGACCTAAAAGCCCAACCATTTTATTAATGGCTAGTATTTGGGTTGGAAACCCTAATTAAGGTTTGGAAAACCCTAATGCCATGAAACCCTAATTTTGGGATTTATCGGGACCGCACGGGAATTATGTATTAAACTTAAAATAATAATTAATGATCATGTGCAAATTAACCTAAAGCAATATTGGACTTAATGGATTAAGTCCTTAATGGGTTAAGTGGGAACACTTAACCCTAATTGTCATTTCATGAGAAAACCCTAACTTCACTTGGGCCTTGAGTTGGGCTTCCTATTGGGCTTTGGTGATTGGTCTATTGATGGGCTTTAGGGTGAGGCCCATGTGAGAGACTTGGGCCCAATTTGGAAAATTGGGCCCATAGATGGGTCTTAATTGGGCCTTTATGATTATGTGATATCGGGCCATGGGAATACCAAGAGTTTGGACTAGAATAATTTTGATGGGCCTTAAGTAAAGACCATGTAGAGGTCTGGGCCCAATTTGGAAAATTGGGCCATATGTTGGGCTTTGGCCTATTACTTGACTATTGGGCCTTTGGAGTGTGAGTTGGACCTTGGGTTTGGAACCCAATTATTAATCGGGTATTGTTTGATGTTGACAGTTTGGGAATCTGTCAACCAGCAAGGGGAGTTTTATATGCGGGCTTCAGCAGTTCCAGGTGAGTCTTCTCACCATACCAATGGGTCTAAGGCACCAAGGCCGGCCCATTTTATGATAGTTGGTATACTTGCTATGTAGAGGTGTGTGATATGTATGTATGTGTAATATGCGGTAGAGATAGCCTTTGTGGCTAATGGTAGAGACAACATTTATGGCTGATGGTAGAGATAGCCTTATGACTAATGGTAGAGACAGCCTTTATGGCTGATGGTAGAGATAGCCTTATGGCTAATGGTAGAGATAGCCTTTGTGGCTAACGGTAGAGTAGCTTGTTTAGCTAATTGATATGTGCCAATGGTAGAGATAGCTTTTATAGTTATTTGATATGTGATATGTGGCAGGAGTAGCTTTTATAGCTAATTGATATGTGTTAATGGTAGAGAGAGCTTTTATAGCTATTTGATATGTGATATGTGGCAGAGTAGCTTTTATAACTGATTGATATGTGATAACAGTAGAGATAGCTTTTTACAACTAATACGATATGTGTTATGTGGATTGTGTGTGGGGTATGCTCTTGGGGGACGCACTAAGCTTTGTGCTTAATGTTTACAGTTTTGGTTTCAGGTTGCATCGATTTGGAAATGAAGGGCTCGGATTGATCGCAGTGCAACACCTATGATTTCCGCAATGAATGGTTTTGGGACGAACTCTGATAATTATTTTACTTAATGATGATTTGGAATGTTTGAAATAAATGGTATCAGTGTTTTAGCTATATTAAAAATGAAATTTTTACCCTTGATTTTTGGGTCGTTACAAGTTGGTATCAGAGCCTTGGTTTGAGGGATTCGGACATACTTTCGGGTGAGTCTGAACTCAAACAGAGGATCTGTAAAGTTTTCAAAAGAAAAAAATGTTTTAAGTAAAGAATTTCTAAGACAAGAAAGGGTGTGGTGCATGCAATTAGCCGAGCTCAAGTAAGTTTCCCCAGAATACCCACATTTGTTATTTGTTATGATCTGATTTATGAATCTGAGAATCGCATGCTAGTTAGGGCTAGGGGAGATGCCTTTATATGTTGTATGAGCTGGTAGACTTACATGCTAGTGCTGAGTAGTCAGCAATAGATTGGCCTGATATGTGATGCTTGTAGCCTTGGGAATATTTGATGTCATGCTAGAATGAGAATGATTATTGGTAGTAGTAACTGCTACATGTATGCTTTTAAAATTGTACACGGTTAGGATCTTATTGTTGGATTAATGTCTAAGTCCATAACTATATTTGGTATGTACTTGACCCGACCCGGCATGGTCCATTTGGGTTGCACTTCACCGGCACAATTTATATGGATAGTCT